CCTAACCATCTCCCCAGGCTCCGCCCCCTGAGTAGAACCACCCTTAACCTGTCTCCCCAGGCCCCGCCCCCTGAGAGTAGCTCCACCTCCAGTCACCCTCGGGCCCCGCCCCTTCCCTCCTATTTCCTCTGCTCAGGGCCGTCTGGACAGGAACACCGCCCCTTCTTAAGCTAAGGCCCCTCCCCTTTCGGTCCGAGGCCGGGCTGCGCCTCTGACGCCAGCCTTTCACGCTTCCGGCCTCAGAGCTAACTCGAGATCGTTTTGCTCCGGAGTCCTTTGGCCAGGGGACACTGCGTCAGCACGTCCCCACGTGAGACGGCGGTCTTCCTGCGCGTTCTGAACAGCTTCCGGTGGAGCCTGGTTGTTGATTCCGTGCGTCTGACGCCTTGTTGAGCTGAGAGCTGAGCGGCCTCCGAGGAGTAAAGGAGAGTTCTGACGTTTGCTTCGGCAACCTCATCAGCCCGCCAAGATGGCGATGCAAGCGGCCAAGAGGGCGAACGTGAGTATCGGGGACCCCTGCCGAGGAGCGGGAGGACTTCGCCGCTGGGCCTCCTCGGCGCGCNCGTGAGTATCGGGGACCCCTGCCGAGGAGCGGGAGCAGAGCAGTCTTGGCCCTCCTCCGCTCCCAGGGCCCGGAGCCCAGAAGTTACTGTGATCTCGGAGGGGGTTTCAGCCTGGCCTGGTGCTTAGAACTAGGACCCGTGAGCCACATTTGCGCCCCTGCCCCTTTTGAGAGTTTTTATTCAGTCTCTGATCCTAAATCGTAATGTCAGTGCTAGTGTTAACGCTACAGCCTTTGTCGCTTCACCTGNGACCCGTGAGCCACATTTGCGCCCCTGCCCCTTTTGAGAGTTTTTATTCAGTCTCTGATCCTAAATCGTAATGTCAGTGCTAGTGTTAACGCTACAGCCTTTCTCGCTTNTGCCGAGGAGCGGGAGCAGAGCAGTCTTGGCCCTCCTCCGCTCCCAGGGCCCGGAGCCCAGAAGTTACTGTGATCTCGGAGGGGGTTTCAGCCTGGCCTGGTGCTTAGAACTAGGACCCGTGAGCCACATTTGCGCCCCTGCCCCTTTTGAGAGTTTTTATTCAGTCTCTGATCCTAAATCGTAATGTCAGTGCTAGTGTTAACGCTACAGCCTTTGTCGCTTCACCTGCACCTGCACCCTGGCGTCAGGATTTTTCCGACCTAAAGGTCAATAGCACAGATGAGTCCCCGATAAATAACTTGATGGTCAACAGGCAGCTAAAGCCCGGGAGTCTTCTCGTCACGGAGCTTTTGGGATCCTTCATGTTTTCATTCAGCAATATTTTTGAGCACGTACGATGTGCCAGACTTGGGAAATGGGAAACAATCAGTTGTATATATTGAACAGCTGCTACGTGCGAGACACTAGACTAGATATTGGAGATACAGCGGTGCATAAAACCAAAAGCTGCTTACATTTTTATGGTAGGGGCGTTATGGAAACAAAAAAAAAAGTGTCAAAAAACAGTGTTCAACTCTGAGATGCTGAGAAATATAGTAAGATGAAGACAGATAATTGGACATGGTGAGATGGAGACTTTTGGTGACCTTGATTTTCATTTCTGTGGATGAAAACTTAGTTGTGGTGGGAGGAAAAGAGGGTGGAAGTTGAGAAAGTGGAGACAGTTCTTTCCACAAGTTTTCATTTAGATATGGAGAAGGGAAATTGGATGATAGCTGGCTCTTTTCTTTTTTAAGATGTGTGCCAATGGGAATGATCCAGTAAGTGGGAGAAACTGACGATGTAGGAGAAAGATGGGTTTAGTTCAGGAGTGATTTGGAGTAGAGGAGGGGTTGGCATAGTACTCAGAGGGAAAGTGGATGCGTCTGGATGAATGTAGATTGGTAGGTTTAGTAATACGAATATAAAGTACTTAACATTTGGTCATATCTATTTTTTCCAGTACGCAAGAGCCAAGGTCATCTCCTAGTATGGTCAGGGAAGAGAATATAGCCCAGCTCAGATATTAGAGGGAGTGGTGGTGGTAAGGTATGAGGAGAGAAATAAAATGGGATGTAGTGTCTCNCTTAACATTTGGTCATATCTATTTTTTCCAGTACGCAAGAGCCAAGGTCACCTCCTAGTATAGTCAGGGAAGAGAATATAGCCCAGCTCAGATATTAGAGGAAGTGGTGGTGGTAAGGTATGAGGAGAGAAAAGAAAGTGGGATGTAGTGTCTCGCAGCAGGAGAAAGCAGACTTACTAGAGAAGAATACTGTAATTGACTGTTGATCATCTGTTTGAACTTATCCTTGAATCTTAAAATCTAAAACTTTATTGTACATATTTGTTTACCATTTGTCACTACTACTGGTTTGAGGGCAGGGGATAGGTGTATTATTCTTACATTTATACAACACAGCCTAATGCCTGACATAGTTGCCAGTTTAATAAATAGTGAGCAAATAACCATTATGTAACTGAGTATGTTGATAAGGAGCACAGAATCTGGATGAGAGATGCATATTTGAGAGTCATCAACTCAGTGTGGAAATCGTGTGTGGTTAAGAGAGAGTGTAGAGTTTGGGGGGTGGGGTACATAAAGAGTCAAGACAAGAAATCTAAAGATAAAACTTTGGAAGGGCATATTTTAATGGCAGAGAAGACTAAGAACTAACTGGACAGAAAGGTTGGGAGAAAGCCAAGGAAAGAGTGTCAAGAAAGTCATAGTCAATGGCGTCAGAGGCTCAGAGAAGTTAAGTATGATGAGAACTGGACGCTGCAAGTATATGATCTTCGTGTGTAAAAGCACTTTGATCAGAGTTTTGGATTGGAAGCTAGAGTGTGGGAGGTTGATGAGTGTCAGTGAAGTAAAGAATGTGAAACAGTAACGACAGACTTCCTCTTCCCAGGTGCCTGACTGAAGAAGCAAAGAGCAAGATAGGGCAGTAGAGAGCGACAAGTCTCGGGAATGCAGAAACCTAGTCTTTTTTCCTCCACTCTGTGACCTAATACCGCCTAGCGTGCTGTACACGTAAGGAAGGTGCTCAGTAAATACTTGTTGAATGAATGAAAAGGGAGCCAAATGACTGTTTTGTGTTGTGTAATGATGGTAGTACATAAGCAAACTGCTCGCCTGAGGAATGAAAGAAACCAGTCGTATTGGCAATAATAAATAAATAAATAAATAATGTATTGGGCTTGTAGTAGCCCCTTATTAGTTCTGACTAATAGTCTTCCCTAAAACCAGTGTCCAGTTGCTTTTCCAAAGAACATGCCATTTTCAGTAATATCAGATTACAATTCTTATCCTTGACTTTTTTATCATTTTGTATTATGAGAACTTGTTTATTAGGTATCACTCTTTCTCCTTATTATAATGACCATACATATTTCTCATTTTAGATTCGACTTCCACCCGAAGTAAATCGGATTTTGTACATAAGAAATTTGCCTTACAAAATCACAGCTGAAGAAATGTATGATATATTTGGGAAATATGGACCTATTCGTCAAATCAGAGTGTGAGTTGACTGAGACTTTTGAAATGTCATTTAAGGAAAATGTTGCAAAATCTGTAATCTTAGAATTATAGCTGACAGCCGGGCCTGAGAGCCTAGAGGCTAATAGATTGAAGTCAGGGAAAGGAGATTTGTTCTTTTTTCTTTCTTTCTTTCTTTTTTTTTTTTTTTAAGAGAAAAATACCTACTGAGACCTTCATGATCCAGCTCAATGAGAGCCAACTAGTTGTGAAATTACAGAGAGCATGAATGTTTGAGGGGACTGGAAGGGAAGAGAAGGAACTAACATTTATTGCATATCTTCTATTTGTAAAGTCAAAAACTATGCTATGTGTTTTATGTGCATTAACTCTGATTTTCTCAACAATCTTCACTGGCCTCTTTGCTGACTCCAGACTTTCTAAATAAACTGAGTAAAGGGATATAAAAGTAACTGAGAAAATTTCTTTTTTTTTCAATTACAGCTTTCTGTGGAAGATTTAAAAGTATAGGGGACCCTTCCCCTGATCTGCTCTTTTAAAAAAAAAAAATCTGCTTACTCAGTAATTCTCTGATTTGTCCAAAGCAATATAGTCTCATTTTAGAGAAGTAAAGTCATATTACTTATAATTCTACCATATAAAGAAAAACAATACTAAAAAAAAGTATAAGAGAAAATAATTGCAACACAAATTCATGTTTTAATTTAATCTAAACTAATTCCAAATTTAAATTGAAGGCTTTATACCTTCAAGTGATATTTCTTGAACAGCTACTAAATGCATTTGTTGTAGTAGGTACTTTTATTTGCATCACTATCATTCAGCTCTGTGTGGAGGTGATACTGTGTCTGTTTCACAGGTGAGACTGCCAAGGCCCAGAGAGTAAAAGTAGCTTTCTAGCTTCACACAGCTATTTAGTGATAAAATCTTCTGATTCTAAATTAAATTTCTACACTACACAGCACACGGTCACATTAACTAGTATAAATGGGCTGGTTACCTGAGAGTCCATCTGAAAGATCTAAGGTTTTTATTTTTAGTTGAAATATCTTTCTAGAGCTTGAGCCAAACTGACATTGTGCCTGAAACAAGATCTCAGATGCTCCTAGAATATCTCTTTCTTAATGAATTTTCTTTTATGACCCGAGAGCTCTTCCTTGGTTGGCTTTTAGAACTGTGAGATCTTGAGGACTCTCCTTTAAAATGATCACTGTCCTTCCAGAAAGTGAACCAATAACTAGAAAGATGTCATCACTGATACTGAAATGGGGATGAAAATGAAGTACTATAGACCAGCTGTCCTTTTTACTTTATTTTATTTACTTATTTTTTAAAAATATGTCTTTATTGATTTCAGAGAGAGGAAGGGAGAGAGAGATAGAAACATCAATGATGAGAGAGTCATTGATCAGCTGCCTCCTGCACGCCCCAACACGGGATTGAGCCCGCAATCTGGGCATGTGCCCTGACCAGGAATCAAACTTCTGTCTCCTGGATTATAGGTCGATGCTCAACCTCTGAACCATGTCAGCCAGGCAACAGCTATCCTTTTTAGAAAGTCTTAATCTTCTGAATATTTGATAAAAGCTTTGGACCCTTTCCACAGAAGAATACATACAACATTTTGCATCTGACTTCAGTGGGTACATGGACTCTGGGTTAGGAAACTCTGTTCTAGATGTAAAAGAATGGTGTGCAGAAGACCCCCTGACTTTAGGCCCTGTAGCTACCCATGTGACTACAGATTGGCTGCCTTTTTTGGCTTTCTATTTTCTCATGTGTAAAATAATGTGGATGGATGGTGCCTTTCAGTTATTAACATGGAGGTAGCATGATAAGTTTAGTGGATTGATTAAGACCTAGGTTCAGATACTGAGTACTTGCTAGTCATGTGAAACTGGACAAAATATTTAAACCCTCTGAGCTTATCGGTGACATACAGTCTTCCTAACCTGTTCTCTTAAAAGAATTTTAGGGAGGATCAAATTAGATGTTCCTGTGGCAGCACTTTGTCATTGAGTATTTCCTTCCAGTGTGCATTGGCCACCCTCCTCTGTGTTCCCCTTGCACCTTCTCTGACCATCTCTCCTTAGTTAACACATGCTTTTGCTGTCTGTGTACTCACTTGTATCTCCTGCCAGCCTACGAGCTCCTCCAGGGCAGGTACCATATATTCTTTTCACTTTGTGTTGACAGCTCTTGTTGTTCCCGATACATGTTAAACACCCAATGTATATAAGTAAGTGAATAATATACAAAATGGTAGTGTGGCTGTGGTTAATTTTTGAAGGTATTACAAAATGTACGCCTTATGTCAGCAAAGTTAGAGAAAAGTTTGGTGTGCAGGAACTTGGGTCTAAATTATAGATTGAGAAACAGGTGTTTTTCTGTCCCATTGCTGTGCTCATGCTTTATGGTATACTTGGCACCTAGCACTAGGGTGACCAACCTTCCCAGTATGCCCAGGACTCAGGTTTTCTGGGATGTGGACTTATAGTGCTAAAAATTGGACAGCCTTGGGCAAATTGAGATGATTGGTCACCCTACCTGGCATGTAGCAGACACGGGCATGGTGCTTTGAACTTTTTAAATCCCATTCTTTCTTGTTACCTTTTTTGATTATTAAAACCACAGGTTGCCCGGCCGGGCGTGGCTCAGCGGTTGAGCGTCGACCTAGGATCCAGGCGATCATCGGGGTTCGATTCCCGGTCAGGGTACATGCCCGGGTTGTGGGCTCGATCAGTGACTCTCTCATCATTGATGTTTCTATCTCTCTCTCTCCCTCTGCTTTCCTCCCTCTAAAATCAATAAAGATATATTTTTAAAAAAACAAAAACCACATGTAGGGTAGAGGATGTGGTAGAGTCTGGTGTCACTATTTGACACATGAAGCAACTGAAGCTCAGAGAGCTTAAGTTACATGATTAGGTATTCTCATTCCTGCTCTAAGCTTTTACCACCAATCTGGAAAGTAATGTTGGCTCAGTGCCTAACATAGTAGCTACCAAGTACATGCTTTTAAAAATTAAAATTACCATGTGGTTCTCAAGATAATAGGTTGATAAATAGGACTGGGACACTTAAGATNAAAATTACCATGTGGTTCTCAAGATAATAGGTTGATAAATAGGACTGGGATACTTAAGATGAAGAGTCTTTAAAATTCAGTTAGGGCCTTGGCCGAGTAGCCCAGTTGGTTAGAGTATCTTCCCGATACGCCAAGGTTGCAGGGATGGCCAGTCAGGGCCCATACAAGAATCAACCAATGAATGCATAAATAAGTGGAACAACAAATTGATGTTTCTCTCTCCTTTCCTCTCTCTAAAGTCAATAAGTAAACATTAAAAAGATAAAATAAAATGCAGTTTGTGCCCATCCCTGTTCTTTCTAAGATGTAAGAGGGAGAAAGAGAGTTGCTTTTATTTGTTTTGTCAGCTTCCTGGAGAAAGGATGTGAGAGAAAGTAGACCTCTACCTTTCAAATGCTTATTAGCACTGTGGTATACATAGCACTATGAGAGTAAAATGAAAAAACAAAACAAAAAAAACCATGTTTGCCCTGAGGAACTTGAAATCTTAAGTTTTTCATGTTTTATTCCAAAGGAAAAATTAGGTAGACTTTTCGGGGAAATCTTTGGAGCAGTGTTTTATCCTTTGTGTAGTCCCTGGCCTTCATACTTGATGCATTCTTGAAAACGATTGAAAGTCCAAAAGTTGTTAGACTTCCCAGAGAGTAAAGAGTATTATGAAATCCCTCATCAGGCCCATGCAACCTGACAAAGAGATTCAGTGATGTCGGCATCCTCCAACACCCCAGCCCTCTATACCTATCCCATCCCCTTTACAGAAAGCACAGGTTCTGACTGGGGCCCAAGACTATAATCTCATCCTAGATCAAATCCAGGCAGGTGCCTCCCCTTCCCGTGGCCCGCTCCCTTTCCTTGACCCTATGCAGGGACTGCGGCAGACCACAGTCTTATACTTCATTCCACAGTTGCGTTGGGTGGCTAGAACACAGCTGGAGGCAAGGGTCCATCTTTACCACACCGGAGCGTAGCTGAGTAGATCCCTGCCCACTGTCCCCACTAACAAGCACAGGGCCATCTGCTGCCCGCGGTTTGTTGCTCCTCACACTTCCCTACCTACTCCCGACAGGTGGTGAGATGAGAGGAGGTGGTAGGAACGCCTACGCGAGAAGCAGCCCATGTCCACGAGCAAGGTCGAGCTTCACCTCCAGCTGCCTTAGCATTCTGCTCTGGCTCGCCGGTTACCCCACCCACAAGCGTGCTTCCATCCCAGTCTCTGCAGAGGCCCAGCCCTGTTCCCCAGCCAGAGGGGTTTTTAATGCATGACAGTGCAGATTGTATTAAAAATGAATGTATGAAAGTAAGGGGCTCACTATATTACATTTTAAAAAGGCAAGACTTTTCTAAGAAAAGTGGAAGAAATGACATTAACTCTCTACATTGGAGGATGCCCTTTTCTGGTCCTGAAGGACGATGGTTGGCTGTTTCTTATATCTCATCTCTACATTGGAGGGTGTCCTTTTCTTGTCATAAAGGATAATGGTTGGCTGTTTTATCTGTATCTCATTTAGAATTATGCCATCTTGGTGTAGGGGCTTCCCTCCCACCCCCACAGAATAGGTTTTATTGTTATGGATTTGATAAAGCTCAGTAAAATAATGCCCGGAAATGTATTTCTTGCATTGATGGTCGTTTTATATTTAAGAATTGAAACTATAATTAAATTAGGGTGGGCGAATCCAAATCTTGAGAAACAAGGGCTAGTTTCCAGGTGGTAGTGTGGTAAATAAAGTATTGGTTCTGTTGCATAAATGCACAGTAAGAAAAACTCCATTCAGCCTTGGCTAGGTAACTTTGTTGGTAAGAGCATTTTCCTGATATGCTAAGGTAGCGGGTTCTATCCTTGGTCAGGGCATATACAGGAAACAACTGGTGAATGCATAAATGGGTGGAACAGCAGGTGGATGTTTCTCTCTGTCTCCCTCCTCCCTTCCTCTCTCTCAAATAAGTAAAAATTAAAATAAATTTTTATTAAAAACTCTATTCAGACATTGCTAATAGGAGCCATCACTCCTCAGTACTGTACTTTCCAGTGTAAGACTGAAAATTGGTTCTTAGTATGAGAAGTAGGAAAGACTAGAACATGAAGACAGTGACAAAGTTTCAAGCTAGTTCTTTGCTGTTACTCGTTTAGTAGCTATATTAGTGTTCTTGATATAACAGTAAGTTTAACCTATAGCTGTTTTACTTAAAAACAAAATTACCCAATTCAAGAATTACAGACCTATCTATCCATAATGTTTATTTCCTCTAATGGTTTTCAGGTAAATGTGTATTTAATTAAGTCTGATTCAACTCTGCAGGGGGAACACACCTGAAACTAGAGGAACAGCTTATGTAGTCTACGAGGACATCTTTGATGCCAAGAACGCGTGTGATCACCTGTCCGGATTCAATGTTTGTAACAGATACCTCGTGGTCTTGTACTATAATGCCAACAGGGTAAGTTTAGCCACGGTGCTCCTTGTGTCAGGAGCCCTTATAAGAACTGCTCCATTAGGGGAGATGGGTACTCTGAGTTCTTTTCTGGCTGGTGTTATTAGTGGACTTCGTTTGACATTAACTTTGGTGCTTACCACATTTTCAGGCATTTCAGAAGATGGACACAAAGAAGAAGGAAGAACAGTTGAAGCTTCTCAAGGAGAAGTATGGCATCAACACAGATCCACCAAAGTAATGTTTTCTTCGTTTTTATTTTGGACTGAAACCCTGTGAATCACCACTCTACCCCTTTTCAGTTTTTAGTTAATACTGAGTATTATGGTTTCTTGTTTGAGGTTCAGGATGACCCTGCTTAAAACTTTGATACATGTTAGAATTTATTGTTAATAAACTTCTAGCTTTTGTAAAACATGTCAGTGTTTCCTCTTGAACTTTCCCGTCCTGTTTGATACCAAGGGGAAAAACACAGCAGTTGAACCATCTGGAGAATTCTTTGGTGGTAGGTGGTCCTAGAAACAGCTTCTTGAGCAGGGACCTTTTTGTATTCTCAGTGCCTCCAGTGTGCACCCCACTGCTTAGCCATCAGGAACTCGTGAGAGGGTTGTCATTTATTGAATGGCTATTAGTAATGAAATCTTCCAATAAATTGGTGAAGGTAGATATCTCCATTTTGCAGATAGGGAAATCAAAGCTCATGTTGGTTGAATGAGTGAAATGCTTACATTAAAAGTTGCTGTAACATCAACCAGTTATTAACCATGCCAGTACATTTGAATAATACTTTACAGTGAACCAAAAGACCTTTGTCAATGTGGATACCCTTATGTTTAAAACAGGCCCATTCTAGAAATGGCCAAACAACAGCACATTGTTAGAAATTTGAGAGCAGGCAGCTTGGGTAGTGTTGGTTGTTTCATGTGTAAGATTGTATAAATGTAGTCTTTCTGTTTAGTTAGTAAGTGTCCGTGTATATTGTGGACCTTTGTTCACAGTATATCTATAAAAAAATACGTGATGCTTATTCTTATAATCATGAGCTCCCATGGCATGGAAATAGTATAGTTATTACCACATTCATCATAGCTTGGCAGCTTGGAGGAGATAGCTGTAATTTTCTTCTTATAGTTTAGTCATGGACCAAATGGAAAAACACAGGCTAATTGTATAAATATAAAACTATAACCCCAAACCAACTTGAAGGGTACAAGGACTGAATCACTTAAATGGGCAAAGAACATCTATTCTACTTTTAAATGCACTTAAGAAAATAGGCTATTTTATCCTTTTGTACAGTCCCCTCAAAGCCTACTATTGAAAATGAAGAAATAATTGTCTTCTTTATTTGTTATGTCTGAGTGCTTTTTGAAAGCTCTGTAAACGAGTAATTTCTAAGAAGGGCAGGCAGATGACAAAGGAGCCACAGCTGTAATTTTCTTATGAATGCTTTTGTGAATTCTGCATCAATTCTTATAATACATGATGTGCCTTTAGGTATTTACAAATGTAAAAAGAATTTTCTAAAAGGCAGTCTTGTAAGGGGAAAACAAATTAGACTGACTTATAGTGTGATGTGTCTAAGTGGCAGACTGGCTTGCCAATAGTATAGTTGTTTTAAATTAATAACAAGGGGAAATTCCTGTTGACAGTGATGGCCCATCCATCATTTGGATTCATATATCTGTTAGCTGAATTTTGTGATCTAAAGAGTTTTAAAAATGCCCTCTAATTGTTTGGCAATGTTATGGCCTGTCCTAGTTAAGATATAAGGACTTTAATTTAGTGGACAAATATTGAGGATCTACTCAGTGCCAGGTCTCTGTGTGCTAAGATGCTGACGATACAGTTACACTTGGTCCTCTGCACCAGGCATCGAAGACGCAGTTTTTCAAAACTGCTTTTAAGGGTGCAGGGAATGGTTGTGTCCATGAACATGCATGTGCATACATGTCTGCCAGAGCTGCTTTACACGCTTTGAGGTTAAATTTCAAGTTTCTAAGAAAGATTTTGTATGACCCAAGAATGTATTGACCAGAAGTTTGAAAATGACATATGACGGCTCAGCATCACTCTCCTGCTTAACACCTTTCAGGGGCTCTCACAGGACAGTGTCCACACATGTGAGCATACAAAAGGGATAGAGGAAGCAGGCCCTCCTCAGCCTTAACAATTTCAAGTCATCACTGACAGAACAGCCCTCACTAAGTTTAAAAGCCATGCCAGCTAAAAGAAAAAATCCCCGAGCCCCATTGCCCCAGGCTTCTTTGAACACACCAGGAAGTGGGCTGATTTAAAACCTACCTGGGAGTTCCCGTGAGTTACAGTAAATGTTGAATCAATTACGCAGAATGTGTGGAAACACTACAGAATCATACATTCTTCTGAAGTAATTCCCAATGCAAGTTAGAGCAAACTGAGATGGAACTAAGCAGTTAATGTGAAAACCAGCTTGGAATCAGTCTTTTCAAAAGTCCTTCTCAGTGTCAGTCAGCGGATGGCCTAAGGCCCACCACACCTTCGTTTGTTCAGATGCAGTGTTCTTTTCCATCTGGGTGCAGGGAGCTCATCCCTTTAAGTCCAAACAGCCACAGATGGCAAGGTGATAAAGTGCTGAAGTCCCACTTTTGATTGCTAGGCTGTGGGATCTGAGCACAATATATTCCTTTCGTTATTCAGAGGAGACCTGAGCCTGCGAGATGAGTGGCAAATACACCGAACAAGGCCCAGCATGTACACTATCGCACTCTAAGTATTGTATTTATTCTCACTCTCCTCGCTCCCTTCCACTCTTTTTCCCAAGGGTGACTGGCTTATGTGGTCCTTAAAGTACTTCCTACCTACAATAAGGATGCACAGGAATTTGTCAAGCACAGAGCCTTTATTTTACATGTCATTTCCAAAGAGGACAGTTTGTAAGTCAGCAGCCAACAATTTCCAAGAGAGAAAGTGACAGCAAAGGTAACTGGCTCAAGTCCCTCTGTGTACACCATGTACATTTCTTGTCTGAGCACCTTGTGTGTCTGGCTTAAGTGAAGGTAAGGCAGTGTAGATTGTGCAAACAAGAAATCTGTGTTCCGTGATCGGAATGGCTACTACATGCATCACACAAAATGCACAACCTGAAATGTTTCGATCTGCAACTGAAGTTTCCTCAAGCAAAGATGTGCATGAACAATGTGAACACATACAGAGCAACTTAGGCAGAGAGAATGGGAAATGTCGTGGGGCAATGAGGTTAGCGCACTGATCAAGAGCCCCAAGCAGGAGCCGTCCCAGTGGCAGAGCAGGCTAGGGGGTGAGCAGCAGCCATCTCCAGCCACCTTAAGTTCCTTCCTGCCTTCACTCTAAGTTGAGCAGCTCCACGTCAAAGATGAGGGTGGCATTGGGAGGGATGACACCGGGGTGGCCCGTGGCTCCATACGCCACATCAGGGGTGCAGGTCAGCTTCGCCCTCTGCCCCAAGCTCATCTAGCAGGGATGGGGGCAGATGGGGAGAGGAGAAAGAGGACCCAGCTTGATTTAAAAGAAAAAAGTAAGATAACTATGGCATATTCCCAAACCGTCCTCACGGTAACTGAAAATCTGAGATGAATTTTATATATGGCACATTGAAGTTGTGCTAAGAGTTGTAGCACATGCAGATTCTGACTGAGAAGAGCAGAAACTTGACGGTGGGACAGTGACTTCCACAAAGCAGCCTCAAATTCATTCACCCAACAAACTACTGGTCATTCAGTTAGTGTGTGGCCCAAATGCTTCTATTTGTTCATAATTGTTCCACACCCTCTTTCAAAGAAACCTAAAGAGGGTGTCTAAAGAGCACAGATACATGCACACAATCAGGTAGGTGACAGTGAGTTCATTAGAGTGCTCGAGATGAGAGCCACGGCAAAGTGGAGGAGCTAAAAGAACCAGTAACGGAGCATCGTGACTTCTCAGACCAAGGAAGCAGCGCGAACCAGGCTCCTCACAGCAGTCATCAAGAAGCGCCGGGCGGCACTAGTGGGACTTGGTGAAACTCAAACTGATTTTTAAATTTTGAATATCTGACTCAAAAATTTTAAGTGGGTTGGTTAATAGTATTTTATCAATGTTAATGTCCTGGTTTTATCATTGTGCTATGGTTATGTAAAATGTTAACATTTGGGGAAGCTGGGTAAAGAACATATGAGAACCCTACTATCCCTGCAATATTTTTGCAAGTCTAAAATTGTTTCTTAAAAAAAGTTGGATAAAAACCCCACCTTGGCCTACCCTACCTCAACTCTTCTGCTGCCTCGGTCAGGGTCAGCTGGTAGCTCACAAGCCTCCCAGCTAGTTCTGAACAAACCTGGGGGATAAGCTTGAGATAAGATCCCCCAGTGACACAAAGGAGTTGTGCTGGCAACAAAAGAGGTGGGGACACAAAGCCAGGACTGAAACTAGATAGTATGGCCATGCCCTGGCAGTAGAGTCAAAGCAGTAGTGGCCTGTGATAGGGTGGGGGGGGGCAGAGTGTCGAGCCCAGATCCCCGACTCCTCAAATCCCCCGTAACAAGGATCTTCATCCTACCTGGGCTGCACCCTCTTCAAAACCCTTGATGACTTCCTGTTTGCCAATTCTGAACTTGAAAGGTTTGTTTCTGTCTCTGGATGAATCAAATTTCTTCCCATTTTGGAGCATTCCTGTGAAAGCAAGAATAAGGCAGAAAAGAGCCGTGGTCATGAGTCAACTCCCAAATCAGGTTCAACGCAGCTAAAATGGTCAACAACTGTAGGAAGGATAACTCAATACATTCACATAATGAACTGTACAAGAATGAAAAAAAAACCACTCTGGATAAATCTCACAGACATAATATGGAGTGAAATAAGCTAAACATAAAAGAGCACACACTCTAGCCCTGGCCAGGTGGCTCAGTTAGTTGGAGCGTTGTCCCGGACACAGAGATTGCAGGTTCCATCCCCAATCTGTGCGTATACAAGGAGGCAACCGATCAATGTTTCTCTCGCTCTCAAAAAGTCAAACATATCCTTGGGTGAAGATTAAAAAAAAAGAGTACACATTCTATGATTCCATTTATATGACATTCAAAAACAGGCAAAACCAATTCATGGGAACAAAAGAACATTAGTTATCTTCAGGGAGGTGTGATAACTGAGAGGAGACAGGAGGGAGACTCCTGGGGGTGCAGGAAATGCATATGTTGATCTGGGTGGTGGTTACCTAAGTGTGATCACTTTGAAAACTTTCATGGAGCTGTACATCTTAGATTTATGTTCTCTACTGCATTTATATTTAATTAAAAAGTTTACCAAAAAGTCCCATATACTCTCCTGCTGTGTTTGAAAACAGTCCCTCCCCAAACCAGAGCTGCTCCTGGCTGATGTTAGTTTAATGCACGTGGCCTGCTCTCTGTATGTATTTTGAAAAGTCTTTGCAAAAGGAGGTTGCGGTTTCAGTAACTTGATAAGTACTGATCTGTCTGCAACGTGTAGAACAGATAAATCGATTACACAGGTCAGAGGCCCCAGAAGACTCACGGTAATTAGGCCACATCACCGGGAGATAAAACACAGCTCCAGCCACTGACGTCAGCGACCAGCAACACAGCAGTTTAGAAACATACCCACAGCATCTGCCTAGAATTAACCTACCCTTCACACTGGCCCAGAGAACTGCTAAAAATGGTCCCATCTCAATGCGTCCAGGAATGAAACTGGCCTTGCTGTCTGCTACGTGGCTGTCACCAGGTTTGCCACATTGAGAAGTGGGTCACAAGGCAGAGCACTCACCCCCCCCCTTGGAACAAACACCTGCTTGTGATCTTCCTGCCAGCAGTCCTCAGGAACTCCATCTAGAATGTTCCTCAGCCCACCTATCCTTTCAACGCAGATCATCCAAGAGGGGTCAGCAGAGACGCAACACCTCCCCTGGCTCCTGCAGCAATGCTGCCACCCCACCCCTCATTGCACCAAAGCCTCTGGAAGACTTGTCTGCCTTCTCCCACCCCCCACAGCCTTAAAGAAAGTAGGAATTCTCCCTTTTCACCTTTGTGCCCTCAGTGCCCAACAAAGCATCTTGCACACAGTAGGTGCTCAATAACAGTAGGCTGAAGTGAATAGTCTATTTCTGAAAAAAGAGAGGCAGTTCTGAGGAAGCCACCCTCTTCTCTAATAATATTGTAGGAAGAAAATGGAGTCTGCAGGGATGGTCAGGGCTCTCAGAGCTGTGCAAAGGGGTTTCCAAGTATCAGACTGAGCCAGGAGGGCCAGGAGTCCACTCTGTCCATAGAGGCGAGGAATGGAGGGGCTTGGCTCAATGAGAGGCTAGCACCAAGGATGACTCTTTGCTGGTGTAAGTGGGGAGGGGTTAGCCTTGCAAGGCCCCTTTCTTATTCCCACAAGGCTGGCTGGGAGAAGAGGGGATAGCTGGTCAGAGGGACACTTGGTTGCCTTGGGCTTTGGGCCTGACCCAGGGGAGCAGATGTCTCTGTAGAGAAGAATCAGAGGAGAGACCTACCTTGGGAGGGGCAGGTCTGATGAGGGCTTGGGGAGCAAGGCCTACCTGTGTAGTGCACCACACACGTCTGGCCCTTCTTGGGGAATGTCCTTCCTGCAAGAAGACATGAGGGAAGATGAACAAATAAGATATTAGAAAAAGTCACCTGGGACATCAGGTGTGACTGGCCCACATTCCCTCTATAGCAGGAAGATGCCCATGGCTCTGGTTCTGGCTCTGTGCCTTGTATAAGCCAGGTTAGTCGCTTCACCTCTCTGGCCTTGATTGGAACTTCATTTCCTTGGGTTCCTCAACTCCACTCCCTCCCGGTTCTTTCCTTTCTTTGATTGCACCTTTTACTTTCCCTCATCTATTCCACAAGCATTCACTGACAGCCTACTATGTGCCAGGCCTGGACTAGATTCCAGAAACACAGAGCAAGGTATGAACTCATGATAAAGTTAGGGAAACAGACACATAAATAAGTAGATTCTGAGGCAGGGCAATGACTGTCATCAAAGATGCATAAATACAATCATTTGCAAACATTTACTGAACACCCGCTACATGTGAAGCCTGGGCCTGATTTTGAGGACACAGCCATGAACCACATAGGCAAGCTCCTCACTCTTCTGGAATTTACATCCTAATGGAAGGACATTAACAACCCTCAAATAAACAAGATAATTGTAGGTTGTGATAAGTTCCCTAAAGATGAATTAAAGAGAGAGACAGTGGGCAGGCCATTTTAGAAAAGGTGGTCCAGGGTGGCCTCTCAGAACTGAGACTTGAGAGATGAGCAAATGTTGGAAAAACACTGAAGGAAGAGGGATCCCAGCAAGTGCACAAACCACGAGGCAGGAAAAGATCGGTGCATTGGCAGAACAGGAAGGAGGCCAGGAGACTGGAAAGAAGGGCGGGAGGAAGAGATGAGTGGGAAGGAGCCGGACCATGCCAGGCCTTGCAGAGCTGTATTTAATTCTAAGTGCAGCAGGAAGCCACTGGAGGGTTTTAAGCAAGAATGACATAATCCGAATTAAGATTTTATAAGATCATTCTGGCTGCTGTGTGTAGGATAGACGGTCCGGCGCCCATTGCAGTAATCCAGACAGGAAATCAATGATGGCTTGAATTAACGTGGTGGCAGCAGAGAGGGGAGCCAGAAAGACTGGAGATACATTCTGGGAGCGGAGCTGACAGGGTATGCTAATGGAGTGGAGATGGGGTCTAGGGTGAGGGAGAGGGAGAAGTCAAGCACAATGCTTGGGTTTTCTGTTTGGGCAGCTGGATGGGTGGGGGGATGAATTCCGGAGACGGGGAAGACTGGAGGGGACAGATTTGTGCGGGTGGCAATCTCGAGATGCCCATTAGACATCTGAGTTTATATTGCAAGTAGGCAGATGAAGAGTCTGCACTGGAGGTATCAATTTGGGTGGCACTTAAAGCCAGGAGGCTGTATAACAATGCCTTGGGAGGGCCAACAACTGAGCCGACACTTAGGGGACTCTGTGGGAACCCACAGAGGGAGCAACTGACTGTGGGTGTCGGGGAAAGCATCAGAGAGGAGATCATAATTAAAGTGGGATCTTAAAGGATGAGTAGTTTGCCAGAGGAAGGAAAGGGAGATAATCCGGGAAGAGTGAACAGCACACTCAAAGGCCTAGAGTCAAGCGCAGTGGGCATCCTGTCTGGTTCACTGTTGCAACCCCAGGGCCCAAAACACAGGGCACATTCAACCAACATTTGCTGAGTGACGTGTTTAACAACTTTCAAGCAGCTTACTAAAACTGGAGAAAAAGTTGGTAGTGGGGGTAGGGACTGAGAGTGAGAGCTGGGAGGTAGGTATAGGTTATCTTGCCCTGGCCGGGTGGCTCAGTCGGTTGGAGCATCATCCTGCGCCCCAAAAGGCTGCGGGTTCAATTCCCAGTCAGCGCACATACCTAGGTTTCAGTTTTGATCCCCAGTCGGGGTGCGTACAGGAGGAAGCCGATCAATGTTTCTCTCTCCCATTGATGTTTCTCTCTCCTCCTCTCCCTTTCCCTCTCTAAAAAACAATGAACATATCCTCAGGTGAGGATTTAAAAAAAGAGAAAAAAAAAGAATAGGTTATCTCACCATCTGCCTGAAGGAGATGGAAGATTTGCTAAAATATTTCATGCCTGGGACGGGACATGGTCAAAAAGGCTGTGGTGTAGAAAGTGAGTCGGGGTGAGGCGGGAGGCCGGATGGAAGGCAGGGAGGTGGGACTGGAAGAGCAATTTAGAAGCTGTGCGGAAATCCAGGCGAGAGATGATGGCGGCCTGGGGATGGTGCCTGAGATACTCAGCACAGGGACCCGACAGAAGTGGGTGTGGGGCTGGACCAGGACAGGCACCCCCAGCTCTGCGCTGGCATAGGGGCTGAGACAGGAATGTGTGTATTTCCCTCCCCTTTTGTGCTTCCTTGACTCGGGGTGTTCAACCAGGCTGAAAGCAGGCCAGAGCTCCTCCGGGCTTTCCCTAAAAATAATAATCCTCCAGAGATAATGCCTCTTGTCACTGGCCAGACAGGGAGTTATACCGAGAGAAGACTCTCGAGGCTCCTTTGAGGCAGGGAAGGGAGGTCTCCTGGAGGGGAGAGGCCTGGGGAATACGCTTCCCAGGACCCAGCACCGTGGTTCCCAGTGTGGGCAAAGAAGCTGTACCCCGCCCGGGGACCCCAGGTAGAGCTGGGACTTCCAGGGACCACGGCCTTTCCATAGGGCTCCCCAATTTTCTTGGGGGGGGGTGGTCAGTAAAGTCTGACATGAATTTTGTCTGACAAATGCTGTGGAAACGGGGGCTCCAGTCTGACTTCGGTTTTGTTTAAGAAATAAGAGACATATGTGCACAACCCAAGGACACGGACAGCGGTGGGGAAAGGGACTGGGGAGGGGAAAGGGACGGGTGGAATGGGTCATTGGGGAGGGGAAAGGGACATGTGTAATTTAAACAAAAGTAAAATTTAAAAAAAAAGAATGTTAGATTCCCTTTTGGCAGTGTCAGGAAGATTCCTTCCTCCCCACCCCTTCATTGTTTGTGTGATGTACTGTTAATAGGTTTTTCTCATGTTCATTCATCTTGGCATTTCTAGAGTTTATTTTCCTCAGTCATGTGTAGTATTACTGCATTCGAGTTTCTTCTTTATAATTTAGGGTTTTTTGAAGTTTTCTTGAATACAAATGGTATGTAGATATTTATGTTAACTTTGATAGGTGTTNGTGGATGGGTCATTGGGGAGAAAAAGGGGCATCTGTAATATTTTAAACAAAAAAAAATTAAACAAACAAAAACACTAGGGAATCAACTTAGGCATGGAAAAAATATTATTTTTAAAGTTTGAAGATAAGTGATTTTTAAAAGAAAAGAATAAGTCACATAAAAATAACAGTTTAACACTCATGAAAAAAGGAGAGCGAGCCAGCTGCTCCTTGCACATGCAGAGCCGTCATTCGGGGGTGACGCCTAAGGCGCCCCGCTTGGGGCACGAGGGGCGCGGCTCCCAGAGGCAGGGCACCGGGCACAGGGGTCAGCAAGTTCTGCTGCGGACTTGGGGGGCTACGAGGCGCCGGTGGGACCGCCAGGCGCAGGCTTGGCCGCGCTGGAGACACGGGCCGCGGGGAGCTCGCGGGGGGCTCGCAGGGCGCTGGGGGCTGCGGTCGG